CCCCCAACATGTCTAATCCCTATACACATTCCAGACTATTGTTACTTAACACATCCCCCCAAGATGTCTAAAAGGAATTCCCCAGATTCCTGCCAGACAATGACCAACACAAAGCAGGGGGGGTTCTCTCCGTCTCATACCTCACTGCATATGCTCTAGAATATAGTTACCTAATACACCCCCTAGATGTCTGAAAAGAATTCCTCAGATTCCAGTGAGACAATGACCCACACAAAGCAAGGGGGGTCCTCTCTGTCTCATATCTTGCTGCATATTTGCAAGAATGGGTTGACACAACTTTCAAGACGGTACAATTTCTTGATGTTTAACAAAACAGTCAGTTGGTAATCGTTTGCTAAGTTAGTCTTGTTACATATTTTGATCCAGTTACTTTTATAAGGTACTAACCCTGTGGTCCATTTTGTTTTCATAAAGTTCAATCCTTTTACATGTATTTGTGCCACAACCTAACAAAATGTAACATAACAATGTAAGTCAACATTCATCCCTCCAACGTTTTTATCCACATAATGTCCATTTTCAGCAGGATTCCACGTGGTGATACGTCAAGACTTAAAGAGCTCAGTTCGCCCTTTCTAATGCAAAGTAAATCAAAGCCATTGAAAAATTGGCCCCATTTTTCTCTTTAACACAAGCAAGAGTTCAAATTTGTTCTCGCAATGACACGGACGGGATCGGTTTTTTTCTTTTTATTTTAAATATGACAAAGCAAAATGCACAAATAATTGCAAGATACAAATAAGAAACAAACAACACAGTCACCGTTCCCTTCACACAATTTGGGGTCAGTTCTAACAGCTCAACAATCCTGGTTAGAGACTTCAAAGAGAGATTTCACAAAGAAAAATTCCAATATACTGTCGGCGACCTCCTCCTCGGTCGCCATGGGCCCCTTGTACTCGGTCTGGGAGATGGGGTGTTACCATACCAACTGGCAACATCCCCAAAAGTCCCCCGCACGTTGGCCCCCACCATGTGCACCAGAAACTTGTGGACCCTGTATCCGTGCCTGAGGTAGAATCCTTTCTGAGGGGTACAGGTGTGAAGGTGGACCTCACGGAAACCCAACTTTCCCAGGTATTCCTCAGTTCGCTCCAGGAAGATCTTGCCCAGGCCGCGGCCTCGCTTTGCTCCGTTGATGCAGAGAGCCTCAACAAATGTGGCCCCGGCACGGTTGGTGACGGGGAGAAAACGAACGTGCCCAATGACGACTTCTCTGAGGAGGGCATGATCTCGATGCTCGATCAGTGCAAGTGAGCATGGACCACCCGCANCCCCCAACATGTCCAATCCCTATACACATTCCAGACTATTGTTACTTAATAGATTCCTGCCAGACAATGACCAACACAAAGCAGGGGGGTTCTCTCCGTCTCATACCTTACTGCATATGCTCTAGACTATAGTTACCTAATACATCCCCCTAGATGTCTGAAAGAATTCCTCAGATTCCAGTGAAACAATGACCCACACAAAGCAAGGGGGGGGGTTCTAACAGTTCAGCAATCCTGGTTAGAGACTTCAAAGAGAGATTTCACAAAGAAAAATTCCAATATACTGTCGGCGACCTCCTCCTCCTCGGTCGCCATGGGCCCCTTGTACTCGGTCTGGGAGATGGGGTGTTACCATACCAACTGGCAACATCCCCAAAAGTCCCCCGCACGTTGGCCCCCACCATGTGCACCAGAAACTTGTGGACCCTGTATCCGTGCCTGAGGTAGAATCCTTTCTGAGGGGTACAGGTGTGAAGGTGGACCTCACGGTAACCCAACTTTCCCAGGTATTCCTCAGTTCGCTCCAGGAAGATCTTGCCCAGGCCGCGGCCTCGCTTTGCTCCGTTGATGCAGAGAGCCTCAACAAATGTGGCCCCGGCACAGTTGGTGACGGGGAGAAAACGAACGTGCCCAATGACGACTTCTCTGAGGAGGGCATGATCTCGATGCTCGATCAGTGCAAATGAGCATGGACCACCCGCGCATTCTGCAATCTCCAATCTAAACAGCAGCTCCGCTCTCCAGAGTGGCCATTTCTCCATCAAGATCTCCACACAGTCCGGTATCAAATCTTGTCTTAAATGTAAAGGTTCCACAGTGTACGTAACTGCCATTTTGATACTAAATAAATCTTTGAAAGGTCCACAAACAGTTAACAAAGAACAATGTCGTACAATTACATGTATAAACCGTTTGCATCTCATACAAAATCAGATAAAAATGTCTCCACAAAAAATTATTGCACATATACAAAAATCAACATTGCAAATTTCTTAATTGTCCTGATTGAATACAGGCTAAGTACATGTAACGTCTGGAAATAATTTTCAAAAATGCTCCCAGAGATAAATACACATTCAAATATCCCTAAAACGTTTAATCACTGATATCGGCCTCTATCTTACGGGAGTTCTTAAACTCAATGATACCTCTATGGAACCTTCAATATGCTTTGATACTGCTGTTTTCTTGGTAAAAACAACCTCTAGTAATGTAACAATGACCTCTGAAAAAAGTGACAACTCAAAAAACACATGTATCTCAAATTACACACGTGCTGCTTCTGGAGAAAAAATCCAGCTTGGGATGCCGCAATTCCCCATGAAAAAAAGAAACACTCCATCATGTGAAAATAAGTGACAATTCCTCACGAAACTAATATCTCATGATTTTTATTGCATGAACGAGGTCACACCTTGGAGGACTACACTTTGGTAACTATAAGCCTTTGACACTTAGCACATTTTC